CTATGAAAATTTGAAGAGATAGGTAAAAAATGGTATAATACAATTTGATAGACAATTAAATTGTGCATCTGATTCTCGTAAAATATACTGGGTGTTCCATTTAAATTAAGCAACTTATTGCCGTTTAAAGCTAATATTTATTTAATATAAATTTTTGGAAACTCTGTATAAGGTAGTATAATTTTTATTATTCCAACACAATATCTGATCAATAAATAAACTTCAGTAAATATTTAGTATTAAAACCTTTAACACCTTTCGAGAAATGAAGCCTTAAATTTTTTACTGAAATTTCACAAAATTGAAATTATTTCAAAAACGGTAAGGTTTAAGTGTGATAAACCTTAATCAAATTTACCTTTATTTCAACCGTAGAATCTAAAAATAGAATAATATACAGGGTGTTCCATTTAAAAAAATACAACTATAATAATTTTTACTTATTTGGGACACTCTGTATCTTGTAAAAATATTTTTAAATTGTACCTCTAGTAGTCCCTCAACGCACCCAAAACTTAGAATTTGTAAAAATCTAATCGTTTAGCTACAATACTCCGTGTCGTATGTGGTGAACAACCCTGTATATCGCAAAACTATGGTTACGCTCGTCGATTTTGACACTTTACGTTTAATAATATACTTTCGTACTTTTATGCTTAGGCGTAAAAGTGCTGTTACCCAAAGGCGTTAACATGACGTTATTATGTTCTCAATGCCCGTACAGTGCAAAAGTAAAATGTTTTGGTGTATTGTGGTGAATTAGTGTTTTATTTAGCTGTTGTAATACTAAAGGTTCCAAACCTCACCTTTAAGTCCACTGATGTTCAAAACTCTTGCCTAATAAAATTGCAGTTCTAAAAAATGTTTATGCTTACAAAAATAATATTCACTAAAATCTGAATCACTAAATAATAGGGTTTAATTGAACTAGAAAAAAATTTACATATCAAAATGCCGAAATACCTATTAATATAAAAACTATTACTGTAATTAATTTATGAGAAACTGTTACCAACCAAAATAATGTCTAGACTATCTAATTGTTTTATTTATAATGTGCCCAGCAAATAGTGTAACTTTTGAACCTGCATTCTTATCACCAACATCATTCAAATAATGACAAAAGTTATTTATTTCCCAGACTTTAATTATTCAAAAATACTTTTTAATATAAAAATATGGTCGAACCTAGTTATACAGTTTACAATTTGATTGAAAGGTATATTAAGTTATCTCTAAAAATAAGACTGCGTATTACAGATATTTAATTTTACAAGATATATTAATTTTACGTACCTACTTGTAGCTTGAATCGATGTAAATATTCGAAATTGATGTTTAGCAAAAATTATTTCAAAATTGATTTTTTATTTAGCTTAATCTGATGAAATTTAGTACTGCTAAAGCCTACGATAAAGATTTACGTTTAGATAATACCATTTTTAACGACTATCGATATTTATTGATTATAAAATTAATACTATTTTCAACACGTTTACTAAAACATGGAATTTGTAAATTTTAAAATAAGATCAAAGAGCTCTACTAAAATTTTTACAGACTTCAAAATTTGCTTGTATTAAAAAATCTATATAGTCATAGTTTACCGTTGTATTTAGACCAACGTTAGGTCATATCTATCTGTATATTTCTACCAAAACAGGTTTTACTTTTTTTCCAAGTTATTCAATTCATGAGACATCTAACAGTTATGTTAATTGAATTAACTGCTTTGATGTATTCGGTTTTTTATACGTGTGGAGATACATATGGTTTGGTTATATAATATACCTAACAAGGATTAGCATATTTTTTATGGTTGTTGAATATTTTAGTCAATAGGGAATACATTTTAAACTTAGTTATTTAAAATAAGTAAATAATAAAATCACTGTTATTTAAACTATAAAAATAACTATTTTCTGTTATACTTTTCTTAAAATATCACCCTGTATATGTCATTATGTATTCGAAAAACATAAACTCCATATAAAAATGAATAATAATATTCTCGTGGTAATTTTTAAAACTCCAAAGTAACTCATTAACAAAAGTTACTAATATTAAAATACTAATTTTATAGAAATGTATCTTCTTTTATAGTAATAATATACCTGAATAACAGTAAATTTAATTCTATGCATTTTTTCAATTTTCTACCACTTTCTTAAGCTGTTATTAAGACGGGCTGTTTATCATATAAGACGCTGAGAAAGGAAACAAGAATTTAATTGCATTTTTTACGTCTACAATAAAAATAATACTGCATATTTTAAAGTAAAATATGAAAACAAATATACAAATAAGTACTCAGTAGTGATTTAAATCAATAAACTGTAATTCATTTTAAAATATATTGTTTAAAAATAAATGAATAGTTTATAGTATAAAAATAGTCGACTGAAAAGGGCGTTGCTACCCTAATCGCCTGTTGGTGTCTCTCCTGTTTTGTATACATAAAAATATTAATGTTGAAATGAATGCTATATATCTAATCACAAGAATGCTATAATATTATTTAGTACAATTATTAAATTAAAACTATTTCAATAATTTTTAATAAATAGGAAAATAAAATTAAGATTTTTTTTTGTTTAAGTAATATGTATGGAAAAAAAATTGAGTCAATAGTTTTTCTCTTGTAATTGATTTATTATATTAGCTGTACATCATTAATTATCGTTATAATACCATTTCGAAAACATTCACGAACGCAAATTTTAGTCCCAGAAGTCAAAAACTACGAAAAAAAATGTATAGGTAAATCACTTCAAAATCATAACTTATTTTTAATATACAGTTTTTTCTAACTGAAGTTTTGACATGACGAGTTTATGCAGCAAATGGGGAAAATTTAGAATCATAGAAAGTAAAAACTTGCTTATTGAACGTTGCTGGTCTTATCAACTATTGATATCTCTTAAAAACTATCATGCAAAGTTTAAGTATAAGTGGGGGACAAGGTCTTCTTAGTATTCTGACATTATCAACATTCAAATGTAAATTAAAAAGACAAAATATTTGTACGAAAATACTGTAAAAATATTGAAACAATTTTTATTACTTAGATAATTAAAAAACATCTAAAAAATCAAAGTATTTTACTTATATAAAAAGCCACAGGTCTTGCAATCCGAAGAGAAGAATATCTAAGTATTCCTTTAACACAAATTTGTTATCTCTTAAAGTTTTAAGAGTTGTATTACTCTTTGTTTCAAGATATTGAAGAATTTTATAATGAAATGAAACTGGAATATCTTGAAATATTCAATATTAGCTTGTATAAAATACTAAATCACCACAATACAGCAAAACACTTTTTACTTTTACACTGGACGCGCATTTCGCTAACGATGTTGGCATCATCAGCAAATGATTCTCATCAAATCGTTTTAGTAAACATCGTTTTAATCGTTTGAATCATCTGCTGATGATGCTAACATGGTTAGCGAAACGCGCGTCCAGTGTAAAATTAAAAAGTGTTTTGGTGTACTGTGGTGATTTAGTGTATTATTTTGCTGTGTAACACTAATGGTTCCAACCCTCAAATGTAATTAGATTGTATTTTAAATAGTTTATATTTTTTCGACTCTTGGCTAAGAAAAATTGAATCCAGTAAGAATCCAGTAAAGAGTCATTGTTATATGTATTTCTGTGTGGATTCTACACAGTGTAACATTCTTATAATCAAAGATACTTTGATATTTGTGTGTTTCAATGGTTGATTTTTAAAAAACAACGTTTTTAAAGAAACGTTGAATGTTATGAAAGTTTAAGGGTGTATTCCGTTGCTTACCTTGGTGATGGTTTTATGTTCCGTTTCTATCGGTTTCCTGAAAGTTTTCTTATTACGGAACACGGTTCTTGAAAAATTCGGTTATAACTGTCACCAAGCTAACCAGCGCGAGAAGGCTGGTTTTTCTTGTTTTGTTTGTCAATCAATGTCATTTATGTGACAGAAATCAAGCAAATATTGGAAGTTCGAGTGAAATTCTTATTTAATTTTTAAAATTTGTAAAAACATTTTGTATTTACATCCAAAAGCAATGGAGGTAGGCAGTAAAAGTAAATAAATTTCATTAACTAAATAGAATTACTTTTTAGGACCATTTAAACTTATCATGCAGCCATTGTTTCTTAAAGTCAGGAACATTTAAAGAAAACATGAAAAACGAGACAACAATTATTAATCGTGAATGTTTTGTAAGTTATAAAAATATAAATATTGATCAGGTTTGTTGATTTATTATTGATCTGTTTTAATATTGGACCTGCAAATCTTCACTTGAGCTGTCTAACGAGTTTAACAGTTTATTAATAAAGTACTTTTCAATATTAAACTCCATTGAAAAGAATAAGGAAACGTAAAAGCAGAGAATAGGTACATTAAAAATGCATAAAACATAAATTTTATAAGAGAGGTATTGAAATTTAGAAAACGTCAACATTTGACGTTTCCAGTATTTTACCAAACCGATGTTTTCCAGGAATCGATCTTTACCGTAGTTTACCAGTCTGGTTCGCCTGGTTTTGCAACGGAATACAGCCTAAATTTATGTAATTCTTTGTATGGAAGATAATTTCAAAATACTCAAAATTCACCTTCAAAAGGACAAAGATAGTAATTTGGATCATGGAACTATTTTGCTGCTCCGCACCAAAACACCCGATCTTCCACTATTTCAGTCACTCCAACTCGAACCAGCGTCTGTTTGTTTCTTTAACCCGCACTGAATTTAGGTCGCCTGCAGATTTCTCTTCTCGTGCGAATTTTCCGATCCAAAACAATCCGCAGTCCCCTCTCTCCTCCACACTATTTACGCACTAAGACACTACAACGTTTTTTTAGTCCATCGAACACTACCCGATTTCTGTTTTTGGTGTTATGAAGCAGCAGCAAAATATTTCAGGGAAAAGAATAAAGTTTGGTATTTTTTCAGGAAAGGACATGGGGGTAGGTAATAAGGAGGATCTAAAAACTAGAGCTATAGAAGACTTACCAGTCGCCATGGCCGATTTTGCCAGGGCTGAGGCGCCCTATCACTCCACGATTTCAAAACTGAGACACTAGCTACTCACGAGAAGTCTTGAGGCAGACTGGCGCGGCGCGAACGTCTTGGGTACCAGCGAGCTGGCGGCCCTGAGAGCGGGGCCGTGATTGGTTCCTGCTGGGAGTCGCCGTCCGTCGACGTCGTCGGAGATCGCGACCGACGTCCGTCGCTCGCTAGATGCGGACCTGGCGGTTTCTGCGAGAGCGGCGGCCGGCGCCTGCGAGAGCGCGGGAAGTACCGGAGAACGGGTATTAGGGCTGCGGGCGAGGCTTGGTACTGGAAAAGGCTAATTTTAGGTTTGAGGGGGGCTAGCTAGGAGTGATTTGTTTACATTTAATGCAATATTATAAACTATTTATTTTTTGTTAACTTTGAGTATACAGTACTCCTATAGCTAGAATATTGTTGTAATTAAATGTTATGATAATATACAAAATATATCTACGTTCAAAGTAGTTCCTTGAAAAAGATCACAATGTGATCGAAACGTTGGAAAATAATTAAAGATTATGTTATAATTCTAATTGAATTGTATTATTACAAGTAGACCAAATACCAAGAAAAAGTTAATCATATCCAAAAAAATCCTTATGGGTTTTTCGCCACTGCACTGCAAGAAAAATCTACAAAATAAAATAGTTATTTTTTTGTAAACACTTCTGCGTTAAACCTAAACGGACGCTGCTTGTCAGAAGTTGTGTTTACAGTAATAAAAATTTGCCTAACAAAGAAAAAAATGCTTAACGTTTCAGAAAGTTTTTTCTTTCCGTCGTCGGAAGCAAAAAAATATAAAGAATCAAGAAAAAAACTATTTAAAATATTTAAATTGAACTATTCGAGAACACTTTACTTTTTAAAACAGATATGTCTACAAGAAATCGTTGACGTTCTGTTAAAATGACATTATATTAAGTTAAACTTCAAAATTAACAATTACTACCTGATAACAATTACTTAATAAGGTAAAACCAAAAAGCCCAAATTGTATTTCTGTATGATTATTTTTAAATTTTACGTATGTTATGTTTATTTATGTTATGTTCTTTAAAATCAAAGAAGCGATTGCCATACATTACTAACATCTACAGTTGCATGAGCAATACATTTATTTTTATTAGATTGAATTAAAAAAGCCTCTTTTATTTTTCTTTTAGAGGCTATCGCTTCTTTCATTATAATTTTGGCGTTATTAAAATTTTTCTGTGCCCTGTGTCCCATGAATGCTGACAAATCTTAGATTTGTGAAAATCTCCCTTTCTTAAATAATCTTTATGTTCTTTAATTCTAACATTTAAGGGTCTAGATGTTTCACCAATGTAAAATTTATCGCATTCACAGGGTATTTGGTATATTACATTTTTTGTTTGTTGTTCTGTATTCATTTGTTTAGTATGTTATTTAAATTTTATTAAAATAAATTTAAATTACATACATTATAAAATTTGAGTTTTTTGCTTTGTTGGTGTCCTGTTATTTTTATGATGTCCTCTAATGAAGTTTGTCAACCACATATATCGGGTGCGTCTCAATAGTAGCTCACTTCTATAACATTTTTATTTTTTCAGATAAAAAAACGAGATTTGGTATATTAATATTTGGCATAAATTAGGATTTATTGACGTATTCTATTGTTTTTAGTCACTTCCTGTTTCACCGGAAATGACTACAACTTTTGATTTTCAAAAGGAACTATGTATATTTTTACTTTATTTAATAGAAAATGACACTCTGAGTAGAATGACATATCATATGTAGGACAAATATTTGACATTTTCGCTTAAAAAAATCATATTTTAAATTTCAATCTAGAGTGCCATGGATGTGTTAGAAACACTAATTTTTAATAAAGGAGCCTTGGAAAAAATAGATTTGATCGTCTAACATTTTTCGTGTCTTCTCCTGACCGGTTAAAAGACGCCTAAATCGTATTTTTAATAATATCTTAATTTTTTCAAACGGAACAACGGTGGATTATTAGCATATTTAGAACAAGTACGATTATTTTACGAATAATCTGGTACATCACACTTGTTATTTCGAGTCAAATTGTCGTTATGAACCGCATGTTACAATTTCAAATGAATCATATGCGAAATTGTCAAAAGTTGATACATGATATGTCATTCTATTCAAAGTGTCATTTTCTATCAAATAAATTTAAAAAAAATACCGAGAGTGTCATTTAAAAGTTGTAGTTGTAGTCATTTCCGGTGAAACAGAAAGTGCCCGAAAACAATTGAATCGTCAATTAATCCTAATTTATGTTATATACTAAGATACCATATCTCGTTTTTTTATCTGAAAAAAAAAGTTATAAAGGCCAGCCACTTTTGAGACGCACCCGGTATAAAAGCTTCTTCGAAGATTTTAATATACGATCTGATCATAGGCAGGTACCGATTAGGCCATTATTACACTATCAAATTTCTTTGTCAAAGATTTTATTTTATTAAAGAAATTGACAGTGTAATATGTGTGATATTATAAAATATTGTATATTAAGAGCAAATGATTCTCATCAAATCGTTTTAGTAAACATCGTTTTAATCGTTTGAATCATCTGCTGATGATGCTAACATGGTTAGCGAAACGCGCGTCCAGTGTAAAATTAAAAAGTGTTTTGGTGTACTGTGGTGATTTAGTGTATTATTTTGATGCGTAACACTAATGGTTCCAACCCTCAAATGTAATTAGATTGTATTTTAAATTGTTTATATTTTTTCGACTCTTGGCTAAGAAAAATTGAATCCAGTAAGAATCCAGTTCTTTGTCAAAGATTTTATTTTATTAAAGAAATTGACAGTGTAATATGTGTGATATTATAAAATATTGTATATTAAGACAGTCAAATTTGATAGTGGCGTTACATTATGAAATTTTTTTGTCGAAGATCTTTTATAAAAGATATACAGGGTGGTCCGAACAGTATTCCGGAAACTTCGTTAGCATATTCTGCAGATAAAAATAAGAAAAAAAGTTTGTATAAATATATAATATGTCCTAAAATGCTTACATTCGGAGATACAGGGTGTAGAAATTTCATTTTTATTTCGATTTTCTCCAAATAATTTATGATGTAAGGTCAATATTTGGATGAAAATTGGTGCCTGGGAGTCTTTTGATATGAGAAATTTGATTTTAATGTCAATATGACTCCTACTTGTAGAGGGCGCCACCTACATATTTTTAACTGGTTTGAAGAGTAATAACTTTTCGTCCGTACCTGTATAAAACTACTGAGTAAAAAATATACATTTACGACATTTTTTACGTAAAAAGGTCCTTTGGGAAAAATTGCTACGGGTAATGGTTCTCAAGATATTTGGAATCGAAATTATCAATACTTGTCATAATTGACATAAATTAAACATGTTGACTAAATAGTTATTAGACTGAAATCATAAATTTGAAATGTTTTTGTGCCAAAAGTTCAACAAAAAGTGTTTTATTGTCATTTTTTCGCAGAAAAATTTAGGATTAATTTAAAAAAATAAAAATTGCTCGATTTTATTATTTCAGTTAAATAACCAATCTACTCAACTTGTTTATTTTTTGTAATAATAATCCAATAATGACATGTATTGATTATTTCCATTCTCTATATCTTGAGAACCGTTACTCGTAACGATTTTTACCAAGAGACATTTTTTACGTAACACGTCACAGAAATGTATAATTTTTTACTCAGTACTTTTATACAGATACGGACGAAAAGTTATTACTCTTCAAAACAGTTAAAACACATGTAGTTGGCACCACCAACAAATGGGAGTTATATTGACATCAAAATCAAATTTCTCATGTGAAGTACTCCCATACACCAATTTTCATCCAAATATTGACGCTAATTCAGAAATTATTAGAAAAAAATCGAAATAAAAATGAAACTTCTACACCCTGTATCTCCGAAACTAAGCATTTTAGGACATACATTTATACGAACTTTTTTACTTATTTTATCTGCAGAATATGCTGCCAAAGTTTCCGGAATACAGTTCAGACCACCCTGTATATTTTATGAAAAATTTGACAGTGTTACTATAAAATTTTCAAAAAATCACCCATATTACACTGTCAAATTATTCATAAAAAATATTTTAAATAAGATCTTTGACAAGAAAATTTGATAGTGTAATAGTAGTCGTGGAAAGTAAAAACTTGCTTATTAGACGTTTATGGCCTTATCGACTATTGATATCTCTAAAAAAATATCATGTAAAGTCTGAATATAAGTGAGGGACCAGGCCTTTTTAATACTCTGAAATTATCAACATTCAAAAAACATTAAAAAGACGAAAATATACAGGGTTGTTCACCTCATTCGACACGGAATAGTAGACAAATGCAGTAAGCAAATTGTAGACAAATGATTGGATTTTCAGAAATTGTGAGTGATTGGATTGTTGGAGGACTACTAAAACTACAATTTAAAATAAGTTTTTTATTAAGGTTTACCGCATTTTAATCTTACCGTTTTTTAAATATTTCCGGTTTTGTGAAAATACAGTAAAGCAATTTTAATGTACTAAACTTTTTTATATTTACTAAATTTTTATTTTACTATTTCGCCGAGCTGGTAGTGTGGTTTATAAAAAAACCTATTAGGCAGAAACCTGTCATTGGAAGTGAATAAAATAAATTTGCCGTAATTGGCTATTTTATAGAAAATCCATATATCTACAAGTCATCGTAAAATAATTCAAAGAACTACTTCGTTTTTCTTGATAGAATAATATACACATATTTAATAAGTATTATTTATTAAACTATTGTAGGTAAATTAAATAAAAGTAAACTGGTATAAATTTAAATAAGTCCATAAACTAATTTCGATTTTGAAAATAGCTACTAACTGTCACTAGAAACTTGCCATGACAACACTAGTCATCTTGATTACAATTTTATTGAAAAATCGCTTTTTATTCAAAATCTGAGCCAGATAGGTATAGGAAACCCTAATATAGTTTGAAAGAGCATTTAACTTTGCTTCAACTTATTTAAAAAATACATAGTGTTACATTTGAAATAACGAAGTTTTTATGTAAAATAAATATTT